TCCTTTAGAGACAGCATGAAAAGTCAGCTGAGTACAAAACATAGAGAGGAAAACAAGAAGAAAAGGGACAAGAAGAGAGGGACACAACCTAGAACAGATAATGGATGTCTGTTCTATTAACATTTCTACATCTGGAGAATGGGGCTGTTTGATGTGTTGGCTTCTCAATTCAGAGGGTCCCCTGCCTGTCTTTGCTTAGGGCCCCACATTTCCTAAATCCGCGCCCTGTTTCTTAACATGTAGAAAACAAACGCCCCCTTAGTAGATTATAGATATATTGTTTAAAGAACTGTTTTTTATTCAAACAGGTTTGACTAAGTTTAGCTAAATCTTCCTTGGCCTCAAACTTCCTTGTTTCCGATACAGGGCTCTAACTTCCACATCTCCCGTCGGGAACGTCACGGAAATGTGTTTAAGACCCACCTCCTCGGGAAGCCTCTTATCAGAGTGACGGGCGCAGAAAATATTCGCAAGATCCTGCTCGGGGAGCACAACCTGGTCTGCACCCAGTGGCCCCAGAGCACACGCATAATCCTGGGGCCCAACACCCTGGTCAACTCTGTGGGAGATTTACACAGGAGGAAGAGGAAGGTGAGGGGATGCAGGTGGTTCTGTCTATGCAGGGTTAACCTAGTCAAGCCTGCTTCTTCTTCATGCATTCTGATTTAATCCACCCACTCAATCTCCGTCTCTATCAACCCTCTCTGTTTCAAGATCCTGGCCAAGGTGTTCAGCCGGGCAGCTCTGGAATCCTACCTGCCACGGGTGCAGGACGTGATCAAGACAGAAATCTCCAAATGGTGCTCCGAGCCCGGCTCCATCGACGTCTACAGCGCTGCCAAGTCCCTGACATTCCGCATCGCCGTCCGGGTCCTGCTAGGCCTGCAGATGGAGGAGGAGCGCATCGTTTACCTGGCCAAGATCTTTGAGCAGCTCATGAACAACCTGTTCTCGCTCCCCATCGACACGCCTTTCAGTGGCCTGCGAAAGGTACAGGACGATAGCTCTACCTGCAGAGTTTCTACACATTTACATTCAATGAAACTCAGCTGACTTCAATGATCTTCTCTTCGTAGGGTGTAAAGGCCAGAGAAATCCTCCACGCCAACATGGAGAAAATTATCGAGGAGAAGATGCAGCGGCAGCAGGTAGATGATGACTATCAAGATGCCTTTGACCTCATGCTCGCTGGTGCCAAGGAGCAAGGCCAGGAGCTCAACATCCAGGAGCTCAAGGTACATGAAACAAGATAAACATGTCAATCTGTTCTTCTGTATCACTGAGGAAAGACAGTTTCTACCATTTTTAATGGAGGCGAGGTCCACTGGTTTAAACATGTTGAAGGGTCTTAAGGGTAGGATGGTCAACCTTTGACGGATTGATAAATGGATGGATGGAAAATTAAACTAATAAGGAGATGAAAAGCAATAGCTTGACTGAAAAAAGGGAAAAAGAGAGTGGAAAGGGAGGGTAAGTAGGAAGCAAAGAGGTTGGAAGGTGATTTAAGGTTACTGATTTAGTGGACTACCTGTAAACAAAGGCCGTTTCTTAATATGTGTACTTGTGAGTTCCAAGTATTCATGAAACGGCAACAGCCTCAGGCTTCGTACTGTTCCAATCCACGCAAAGATCGAGAACGGACAAAGTTCCCGGATGTTGTTCTTGCCCCGCCCTCTTTACAAGAGCAGACTTGTCCATTCTTGAGATGGACAGCTGTCCCAGCATGCACTGCGGCAGCAGCAGCTTGCAGGTTAGCGCTCACAGAGCTCAGAGTGTTAAGTTAAAAGTTCTCTTTTATGTTGCTGTTGTTCAATAAAAGTACTTTTTAAGATCATTTGAGGCGAGAATATTATACTTTAAGCCTCACTATATGGCCCATATACCGATTTAATGCGTAATTTAAAAAAAAGTTTACGAAGTTGAGAGAACCGCAGCAACCAGCGGACCTCCGAGGCTAATGGCAGCCAGGGCTAACGTTAGCCCGTCTGCAGCAGCCCTGTGAAGGACCGCTGGCTAGCTTCTAATTGACCCAGATCTATGCTGTGTGCTCCTGTTATCCCCAAAGTCCAGACTTTACTGTGTTCTAGTCAAGAACATACTTTGCAATGACACAAGTCCGTACATCGAGTTCTTGTGAATTGAGAAACGGCCAGAGTAACCTCCCTATAAACACCAGACGTCATGTAGGTTGGTCTTTAGGCTAAATCTGGTCAGTCCGTCATAGTCTTGATCCAGAAATAGTTGTGGAAAATTGGGCCGTTTGGTCGGTCTGATATTTTCTCACTTAGATGTTGAAAAAATGTTGCAAACCAAGTTTTCAACGTCTTTTAAGCGATCTAAAAAAAATGGCTTTTAGCCTTTCAACCAAATGTAGAAGCCGTTTGGACGTAAATCATGTCGTCTTTCCAACGTCTTTCAACCAATTCTTGCTCCTCTTTTGTGGAACCTCCGCCAATAGATCCGTGTCAGTGTTTCCTAGGTCTGGTTGTCATCCAAAGTATGCCAAGCAGCATACCGATAGAGTGAAGTCAGAAGATGTAAGCCTTAAATCTAACATTCATGTTGCAGGAAACAGCCGTCGAGCTGATCTTTGCTGCCCACTCCACCACAGCCAGCGCCTCCACGTCGCTGGTTCTTCAGCTCCTTCGCCACCCAGCGGTGGTGGAGAAGGCCCGAGCCGAGCTGGAGGCTGAGGGTCTCAGGTGTCAGCCTGACCAAAACCCGCCCACTGTCACAGTGGAAAAGGACCAGGAGCCTGCAGAGACGGAGATGACCTGCCTGCTGAAGGCCAACGGCCAGTCGGGCAGTGGTTCTTCTCGCCCTTGTGTTCCCTACCTGAGCCTGGAAAAGCTGAGCCAGCTCCGCTATCTTGACTGTGTGGTGAAAGAGGTTCTCCGCTACCTGCCGCCGGTCTCCGGGGGATACCGCACAGCCCTGAAGACCTTCGAACTAGATGTAAGTCTGAGACAATCTGTCTGCTGCTCATTCAGAACAACTCATAAACTCAAATCCTTCAGGGCCATTTACCGTAAAGATCTCACGCAAATAGCCTAAAAAACAGTATCCTCTGTCGATCATCTGCTTTACCCAAAAACAGTGATTTGTTCTTAAAGTCATAAGGAAATCATATGTAAATGTAAAATAATTCTGGCTTAAACATGTATATAAACCTAACTATTATCAGACGATATTGTCCGTCATCTTATGCATGTTCAGTTAGTTAGTGAGCCTGAACACCTAAATTCAGCCAATCATATATCAACGGTAATCTGTCAATCAATTTTTTTTTAGCATATTAATTAGTGCTACTTGGTCCCAATGTCATTTCCCATTGGGAACCTACTAGCACTAAGTTGATAACTGGTTAGCAAGATAACTGGTTAGCTTCCGACAAACTGGCCAAAACCAAACTTGCTTGCGAACCTTCCGCCACAACATTCCCGCCCCCTTGATAAACGACCAATCACATTCACTTTTATTCACTCGTGTAAAGTCGTCCACCACTCGGGAGAATTCGGAAATGCAACGGTTGGAACAGCCTCTTCCCTACGACTTTAAGACCTTTGTAAAGTCTGAGGAAGTATTGATGATCTATTTGCTGTTTAGAGGAAACATCTAAAAGTACGAGGAATTTTTGACTTGCAAAGATCTAGTCCCAGCCTTATGTTCTAGTCTCCCTCTGAGCAAAAGTTTAGATCTGGAAGGAACCTTTATGTCACAGTTAAGAACATTTTTAATTGGTTCTATTGACAGAGGACCCAATCCTGGAACAATGTCCTAGGATCTCTGGTTACATTTATATTCCTACGATGTAACTCCTTCATCTCCCCAAGATCCATCAAACCATTAACCTTTTTCATGGCAAAGTTTATGTTCAAACAAAATGTGTTTTCTGCATTTTATCACTTACCTTTGGGGAGCAGCTCAGAATGCTCCAGGATGGTTAGGAGCTCTAACCTTTAGGCCACACCTCTGCCTTTTTTAATCCATTTTTATTTTCCAAAAATCAGACCTTATTTTACATGCAGTAGAAAGGGAAATGAAAAATAAATTAACTCACATTTCTGATTTAATGCAGCACCAGTACATGCTAACATCTGGGGAAATTAAACTCTACTAGAATATAATCATAGAAATAAAAAGAAAGTACAATCTTTCTTATTTATAACTATTATACTCTAGTGTAAAGCTGATATAGTTTAATTTCCTCCAAATCCATAAATGCTCTTTATTTCTTGTTAAGACGAGCCATTCTAGAAATCTCTGCTCTGGGTAGAATCCTGCCTTTTGTTGTTCCACCTGCTGAGAGTTTTTCATGCAGGATTAGCTTAGCATAAAACCACCCCAGCAGAGTCCCCCTTAGTCCATATATACCTTCTCCTTGACCTCAACATGACCCCAATTTTCTGCCCCCACTTTCCAAAAGGACAATTGTCATGTATGCACCTTTGTCAGAAGTTATAAAGCCCCACGGCTTAAAGTAGATGTGCTGTTGAACTCAGCGGTCTCCCCGAGAGCTTCATAAAGAAATCTTAGGTCTGCAGGCGTGGCTCTGGTTGGGCTCTGGATTACCTTAGTGAATGATGAAGGTTTATTCTTCACTGCTAAGATATATTCAGACGGATGAACATGAGGAAGCCATAAAAAACTAAACTTTTATTGGAAGGAGCTCAATTTATTATTGTTGGGTTTTTTTGTGCAGCCTTTGTGAGAGACTGAAAATAAACCAAAGCTCAGCTCCTTTTTTAATACAAATTAAAAAAAATTTCTGGCTTTTCTCCTTCCGGGAAGCAATTTGGTGGGAAAAAGGTTTTAATGTTCTCATATGTCTTTACTAAGATGTATTGTATGCATAGTACTGATGTGGATTCCATTGCTGTTGGTCAGTAAAACTAATGAGGTCCTGAATAGAGTTTCTCCACTAGACTTTGTTTCCAAGTTTGAAGACGTTTCTTTTCCCATCCTGGAAGATTTTTAAATTCAAAATGTCAGAAATAGCGTTACGTTCGAGGCTATGTACAGTAGCCCAACAAAGCCCTTGTTTTTGTTTAGAAAACATGCAAATTGAAATGGACCCCTTGAAAACCCACCCATTCGTTCGTTTCTATTTGCATGTTTTCTAAACAAAAACCAGGCTTTGTTGGGCTGCTGGATAAAACCTGGAACTAAACGCAATTTCTGACATTTGGAATTGAAAAAGCTTCCTGGATGGAAGAGAAACGTCTTCAAACTTGGAAACAAAGTCCAGAGGATTGATTTTAAACTTTTTTGGAATGACTTTACCTGGATTATTGAGAATCTTAACCAGCATACGTCCTGAATGGAGGGAAAGTCAGCCATGAGGATCCAGATCCTTAGGTTGTTATGGTCTCACCTCCTGAAGGATGAAGATATTTGTTGAATTTTTTCTAGCGTTGGTTGTAACCATGGATTCTGCTTTCTAACACAGGGCTATCAGATCCCTAAGGGTTGGAGTGTGATGTACAGCATCCGGGACACCCATGAGACCGCCCCGGTCTTTCAGAACCCGGAGCAGTTCGACCCTGAGCGGTTCAGCCCTGAGCGGGACGAGAGCCGCTCGTCTCGGTTCAGCTACGTGCCTTTTGGCGGCGGCGTGCGCAGCTGCGTCGGGAAGGAGTTGGCACAGATCATTCTCAAGACTCTGGCCGTGGAGTTGATCGAGACGTGCAAATGGACCCTGGCTTCGGAGAAGTTTCCCAAAATGCAGACAGTCCCGATTGTGCACCCGGTAAATGGGCTCCACGTACGTTTCTCCTACAGCTACTCGCTTTAGATACGCTCCAAACGGGACTGTAAGACTTTCCAGAACAAAGCTCACCCAGCTGGTAAATTCAAGCTCTGAACTCTCCCGTCATTCATCCTTTCATCTCCTCAGACATGACTGCTATCCTGCAGCGCTTCTTCAACAACATCCTTTATTTGCATCTTAATTTATTTATATATGTTGCCTTTTACCTGCAGAAGAAGTCGGTTTTCCCTTTTGTTGGATTGAAAGCACATAAGCTAAAGTTTCTGTTCAGAAACGAACAGTTCTCTCCATCCTGTCCCCTTTCTATTGTCTGTAAATTAGTTTTAAGTTATTTTCCATATCAAAATAAGCCATCAAGTCAATAGTTTTAATGCTTTTTTACTTTCTGCTTCTCTGTAACTTCTTCATCATTGAACCAGCTAATCTATTTAATATAACCGGCATCAGGTTGGTTAATTTTAGTCTAAGCTAATGTTTGTCTGTCGTGTAATCTGAGTTTTACTGCGAGGTGCTGGATGTGCTCCACAGAAAGACTCGGCTCTCATCAGAACGTCTTAGAGCCTGAAAGTTTCAGATAAAACTGGAATATTTTGAGCAACGTTTTCCTGATTCTGGAGAAATGAGGCGGTAAACGTTGCTGCTGCGTTGATGTGTGGCTCTGGGAGCCGCTGCTGCTGGGGTCAGGGACGTAACGCGTCTACTTTTCAAATGTCCTGTTTCCTTTTTAATGAATGTTTCTTAGATCTGTTATTGTGTGTGTATTAAATGAAGTAGTGTTCTGAATAAGCTGTATTTAAAATGAGATACTAACCTTTAATGTAAAACCATTTTTTTTTTATCTTTAGGAACCTTTTTATTTTGAGTCAGATTTTCATTATTGCTGTTGTTACTGGAGGACTGTTAGCCTGTTAGCATGCTGTGAAAAGCTACAGATGGATTTATGGAAGGAGATAGCACTTTCTCCACTTTAAGGAGTCTGTATATACCGTAGCATCTTAGTTCTTCATTGAGAGGTTTAGATTTAGCTGCTCGACCAATTTGAGCTGATTGAATCAGAGGATGTCTAACAAAGTTCTGCATTAGTCCATGTGCTTTTATTTATGTTAAAGATGCTTCCCTTCCCGCGCGTACGCTGTACCATTTTTCCATTTTTGCACGCAGCTACAGCTCAAACTGTACGACGAGGGTTTAAAAGTTCTCAGCTCACGATGTTTGTTCTCTCACTGTGCGATCCGACGCTCTGATGCGATCTACCTGCTCACACTGTACGTCTAAAAACCAGTGAGATGGCGCTACTCGGACTTGTCTAATCGGAAGCTAAACCAGTAGAAGAGGAATATGAGCGTCACTAGAGTGAAACACGATGCCTTGGCAATTTATGCAATTTTTTTGTGCTGAAAGCCCTAAAAAGAAAAAGGTGACGACGTATTTGGACAATTTTGCAGAAAGAACTCCGTTTCACTCACACCTCCGCCATGCTTCTGTGATTTTCTTGACCTTACGATTCCTGATGGGGAGGTGGACGTTAGAGGCTGATCGCCCCTCGTTACCCCCGGTACACTACATGACGCTTGATCAGGGTGAAAGTCGGCCCGATAGAAAAATTCTCGCACGACTGGAAAATCAGCCCAAAAAAGTCAAAAAATGGTACAGTGTACGCCCGGCTTTAAATAGCACTTGAATCCATATGTAGGCTGCTGCCTAGTACCCTCTTCTCTAACCCCTACAAAGTCAGGACACTCTACACACCCCGGGAGGTAAAGTATCCTTTCTCCAACACATTGCAGAGCTAAATTACTGCTCACGAGAAAATGACATGATACATTCATCTGTGTAAGCGATGGGATGCATCTAAAAGTTGCAGGATAGTAGCTACCCAGGACAGGAC